CCTGCGATGCTGCGGATCTGCTGGAGCGCTTCTCCTGGCCCATGCCATTCTGAGATCTGTCCCGTCCACTTCCCCGGCCCACGCGGTGCTGAGATCTGTCCGTCCTGCTTGCCCCGGCCCACGCTAGGCTCTGTACTCCCCTGAGAGCGACCATTTTCAGCTGGTGTGCTTGGGAGCAGTGAAGGGGTCTGTGTGCAGCCCCCAGGCGCTGGGGCACAAAATGCCGACAGCAGTCCCGGAGGGATGACCTTCGGAGGCCTTGCATGTGGGCACCCTAATTAGCGCTGGCTCTGTGGGGCGCGCGGGAGAAGATCTGCTAAGCGCCCCTCCCCAGCTAAGTCGGGCGCGGATCTTTGCGGGGCCTTTCATTTGTGGTGGGACTTGAGCTGGTTCATTCGACTCCTCAGGGTGGGCAGCCAGAGCCCAGGAAGCCTTCTTCCGGGAGGACAGGTCCGCGGGGGCCTTACAAGCCCGCCCCCCACGTATCTGCTTCCCCCAAAACCCACTCAAAAGGCCTGCAGTACTAAGTTCAGCGGCACTACAGGCTGCCGGGCGCTGTCTCCACCCCCAGAGCTCGTGTCCCCTCCACAGCCCTACTTGACCTCCTGGCTTCCCACCCTGGACTTGCGACCCCCAAGTCCCGTTCTTCACTCGCCCCATCTGGAGCCACTCCCAGTGCCAGGCCAGCAGGCCGTAAGATGCGGGGGCTCCCCCGAGCCCTGGAAAGCCGTGGAGGTCACAACGCGCGCGCGCTCAGTTTCCTGCACCCAAAAGCGCCGCCCTCTCCCGTCCCAGGGTGCCCAAGAACCCAGATGACACCTGTCACAGTGCTCCGTCCTGGTCCTGTGATGAGGCCCACCCTGCACAGAAATCAAGGTCGTCGGACCTTGTAAGCCCCCCACCGCCGCTGCACCCCTATCCTGTGCTCCTAATGTGGAGCCGAGCTGGTGGGGAGCGCTCCTACGTAGGTTCCGTTTCCTTCCATCCTTCAGGCTTGTACTTGCACCCTAGGCGTAAAGCCACATCTCCGCTGGCGAACTGAGCCCTAACGCTTCGCGGGCACTTCCTGGCTCCAGCCTCTCCGAAATGGTGTCCGTAACCCCCAGCCACCACATGGCAGCCACAACCCCAGCCCCGACCCTGCCCTGGGCGCGCAGGAGTCCTCGGGCCTGCTTGATCTCGCACTGTTGGGGACTGGCTGGCTGGGGAGCACAGGGACGAGCGTTCCCGGCTCAAGCGAGGGGTCAGGTCCTCCACGTCAAGGCCTAGGACCAGCGTGCGTCCCAGGGCACTCCTGAACACCGCGCCTGTCTCTCTTCCTCTCTCTCCTCCCCCCATCCCTCTGCTAGCCCAGCTCTCTTGCTCTCTGGCAAAGACCCATCTACAAGGACAACTGAAACTTTATAGGGCATGATTCATCGGGTGGCGGGCCCATCGGAGCCACGGCGCGTATTACATTAATCAGTGTCAGACCACTAAAACCGAGATATGAATATGAATTCTCCATATTGCGGGAGAGATAAATGTGCTGGTGAATAATTGATCGAAGCAGGGAAGGAAGGACAGCGGGATTTCAGAGCGATTTCGGAGACTCCAGCAGGTCAAAGATTGGGGTGGGGTCCCCAGGTCTCTGGCCAGGGCTGGTAGGGGGCCTGTCACCTGGGGCTAGCTGAGGATGCAGCGGGGAGAAGAAGGTCCCCTGGCCTGTTTCTTCCCTCCCCTTTCCCTGAGAATAAGATCTGTATAGGCTAGGTCCTCCGCGGGACACAGTGTCCCTCCTATAGGGAACCTGATCCTCCTGGGGGGGGGGAGCCCCAGGTCGCAAACACGAGTCCTGCGGACACCCCTCGGCTCCACCCCTTTGGGGTTCAGCTTCCTCTATGCTCCTAACCGAGCTGCTGTCACCCTGGCTAGGAGTTCTCCCTGGGTGGCGTGAGGAGGAGAGCACCTTTGCACAGACAGGAAATTCTGGAGGATTGGATGGGTTTGGCCTTGGAAGCAAAGACGGTTTCTGCACCTTCTCTTGCCACTGCCCGACGCTTCGGGCGCTGAAACGCCGGTTCCTGGAGCTGGCGGCTGGGGCAGACACCTCGAGGTGCTGGCGGTCAGGCGTGCAGTGACTGGAAGAGATGTCAACACAGCGCACAAAGAACAAAAAATTCTCTTTGCCACTTCATTAAAAATTCATTTCTAGAATTTTACTGGAGAAAACAATCCCGAGGCTGGTGATCTGATTTCTTTGCAGTGGGAAGCTTCAGTCCCCAAGAGGGAGCCCAGACACTCCACGACGTCCAAGACGCTGGGTTCTGCGGCCTCGAACCCCCTACAGGTGAGCATGTGCTGACCCACGTGGGTGGCAGCGGCAACGGCAGCGTTGGGGCTCCCAAATGTCTTGCGAAGAAGAAAGAAAATAATGGAAATGTGTTGTACGGGGAGCGGAAACCGACAAGAACCATACTATTGGACTCAGGGAAATAAAATCCAGCCGAGGCTGGCCGGGGGCAGAGACCTGGCCTCCTCCAGCTGAATCCCACATGTTGCTTCCCGCGGTCAGCGGAGGGCATCCCCAGTGCTTTCTGGAGGCCCAAGCAGCCTGCCTGTGCCTCCGGAACGCGGTTCCTCATCGGAAGCGCAGAACCCGGCTGACCAAGGCGGTCCCTACATGCAGTCTCACCAAGGACTCAGGGCCCCTCTGTCCCAAGCGGTCAGGGTTCCACGCATTCTGGGATGTGAGGCCCAGGGCCGAGGTGATCCCTGAAGCTCTGGCGTCGAGGGAAGACAGGGAACACCTGATTCCGCGAGCCTCACCCTGGAAAATGGCACGCCCTGCGTGAAGCTAGGCGCCCACTCCCCACCCCACCCCTCAATTGCCAGCAGCCTACCCATCAGAACCCCCCACCCAACAGGCCCACACAAACGACGAGTGGGTGGTCTCCTGAAGTACAGAGCCAAATCACTGCCTCAAATCCAAGCTCCTGCCCACCGGGCCCCCAAGGCCCGGCACCCCAAGATTTGCGTTTGGTCACGCCCCCGGAGCCTGCTGGGCACCTTCGGGGCCTCGATTCCGCATTCGGCCCATAGAGGGCGCCGCGAGCCCGTCCAATTCGGACGGCGGAGCCGGGCGCTGCGACTCAGCCCGCGCCCGCCGCAGGCCGGGCCGAACTCTGCTCCTCTGAGCACCGGCCCACGGCCCCGCGCCGGCGAGCGCCCCCACGTGCGCCCTGTCCTTTCCTGTCCCCGGCGCCCTTCGCGCCTCCTCCCGGAGCTTTTCCTCCAGCTTCTGCGCAAGGAAGGGACCCTACCCTCTAAGCGGACTGCAAGGGGTGGGGGGAAGGAGTTGGGTGGGGCCGGAGTAGGACGCAGGCGCCTGGAGGAGAAGCCGGGCCCCGTCGGGTCGCGCCTCCCCATCCCCAACGCAAGCCGCCTTCTTTCGGGCCGCAGAGAACCCTCGGGCGCAGACACTCGCGCCCCCATTTCCCTCTCCCGAGCCGCACCTCTTGGCCCGTGGACCGCCCTGCGGGGCGGGAGGGACGCAGCGCCAGGGCCGGGCAGGGGAACGAAGGGCGCATCTTGGGAACAGGCGGGGGGCGTCCTGTCCTCCTCCTCGCGCTCCCGCTGTTCCCAGCAGCCTGCATCTTCGCTGCCAGTTTTGGAAAGGTTTGCTCTCTTCGTTTGCGCGGTATCAACACAAAGTCGTTTGCTCCCGGAGGGCCTGTCCCAGAGACGCGGCAGCGGCCCGGATTTCTGGAGGACCCGCTGCAGTTCTCCTGGCCCATCTCCGACTCGCTCATTTCCGACTCGGCCCTATCCCGCATAGTCGCCTAAAGTCGCTCCCAGCTTCCTCCTTCCCGGCTGCCCGGACCTCGGTCATCTGGGGGGTTATTTACTCCTGGGCTCACTTGGGGGTGCGCGTCGCAGGACGGGAGGACGCAGTCGTTTGCACGGGGGTTTAAAGGGGTGCCCCCGGGAGACATTGTCCCCCTCCCCTCTCCTTGCCCCAGCCGCCGCCGCTGCAGGCCCCCGCCCTCACGCCCAGAGAGCCCCCCACCGCGTCGATGTCCGCCCATTAGGGGAGTTTAAAAGGGTCTTTCAATTTCTCCACGTTTGATTTAACTAAGTAACTAAAAAAATTCATTCCAAGCAAAATTTCATACTCCATGATTTCCTCACTCCATCCACAAAACGCCCCGGCGCCACCGCGCACCACTGAGCCACTAGTGATACTTTGATTGCGAACCCGAAGTTATCCTTTGGGGACCTGAGTGGAAATTCTTTTCATTTTTCCCCCCTTTTGTCCACTTAAAAAAATCATTTTATAAACTGTCTCAAATCGAACTCATTTATGTCCTGAGAAAGGCGTGCCCCAGATAAACGTATAATAGTGAGAAAGAATGAAGCCGCAACTGGAACCTGCCCTCGTGACAGTCTTAACAATCAGTAACAGCAACGACCAGCACCACCCTCGAAAGGACGGAAACGCCGGCTGCCTGGCTGGAAACGCGCTCTGCAGACCCTCCCTGAGGGCTGCTCTCCCCGAAGCCTGGGCCCCAGGAACGGGCCCTGGCCAGGAACCTGGGACCCAGGAGCCCCACCCCCCTCCAGCCGTACACACAGCAGCAGGAGCAGCGGGCTTCGTTTCATTTAGTTTATTAGACAAAAATATATGATTTAGACAAGTTCGCTGACGCGTTATTTACAGTCTGAAATCACTCTATATACAGAAAGACAGAAGGAAAAAAAAGACACAAGCACGTGGAGGCTTTTACCGCACCGAGAATCAACGGGAGAATGGCGAGCGCGACCCGACCGGAGGCCGGGGCGGCGTGGACCGAGCTCGGCCGGGACAAACCCGTTTCTGCAGAAAGCGATGGGTGGGGGTCGTTGACGTCGTGGCCATATTTGTCCTTTACACCAGTCTGAAATATTTGTCTTAATTCCTCCCTCATCCCCTCCCTCCCTAGCTCCCCCCTCCCCCCGCAAAAGTAAAAGAAGACCCTTAATCAGGCGGACGGGAGGGCTGCTAGGATCCGCGGCGTTCCCTCCTGCGGGGCCAGCGAGCTGCAGGGGAAACACAGCAAGACAAGAGACGGAGCCGTGTCAGTGGATGGGCGCTGCGACCCGGCGGCGCCGGTTCCGCCCTCAGCGCGCCCGGGGGCGGGACGGCCTCCTGTGCGCAGCTCCCGGATCAAGAGAAACCCGGGTGACTGAGCTAGCCCACCGCGCCGGGCGGTGCGTGGCGCCTCAGAGCACAGCCCCCCACCTCCGTCCGGGCCCCCTTCCGCCACCGCCCCCGGCTCAACCCCCCCCCCCCACCCCGGTGGTGAAAGCAAACGGCACTCACTTTTCGCGCACCGGTTGGAAGGGCGACTTTAATTGCTGTGCGGGTGAGTCTGGCCTGGGAACGAGGTCTCTCTCTGCGAGGGAGGGGGAGAGCAAAGCATTAGGACCAGGGACAGGTGTGGTGGGGAAAAGGACTCTAATGGAGAGGCGCGCAGGCCCCCTCCTC